GGGAGACCCTTAACTGCCCTTCTAGAATTTAATGATGATGATGTTCCGATAAACTACCTCGACCGCTGGAGACTAAATCAAAAAATTTAAAATGTATTTTGGAAACGTTGGAATCGATAATACCTCAACAATTTGCAACAACGCCTAAAATGGCAAAATCCTCACCCTAAATTAAGGAAGGTGACCTCATCTTGCTCAAGGATACCATATCACCACCAGCAATGTATTGGAGCCTTGGTCACATCACCAAAGTCTTTCCGGGAGCTGACGGAAAAGTTCGAGTCGTCGAGGTGAAGACCAAGCACCAAGAACGCCTTACTCTAACTGTCTCTAAAATAGTACCATTACCTTTTGCTGAAGACTAAGTTAGTCTACCGGGGTGGAATATGTTAGGTTATTATTATTATTGTATTTTATTTATTAATTATAATTCATATTCATAGAATTTTATTGCTACTTATCATCATCTTTTTTGTTGTTTTTTTTTTATTTTTCTGTTTTCTTTTGTGTTATAATTACAACTAAATCGCATTAAATCGTAATGTAATTCTCTTTTGTTGTTTGAAATAAATCTAATTGAATCGAATTGAGTCAGCTAGTTCTTTCTAGAAGAAACTTCAAAGGAAACGTGCTAACCAGGAAGAATGGGATCTTTTGAGTATGACCATGATCAGAAAGTGTCTGCTATCGTGGAAATCAGGTGCCGTTCTGTAAATAAAAAAAGGCTTTCAAATAGAACATTTGAAAATTATCAAATATGGTGTTATTTTTTATATTTCGTAATAAAACTTGTTTCCCCTATAAGTGTGAACACCCTCTGTACTTATAGGGCACCTAGAAATATGAAATTTGGTACACATGTTCAAACCTGATGACAATGCTAGCTGACCAAATTTCAGATTTCTGGGTTGTCAGGTTGGCCAAGAACGGACATATTTCCAAATTTACTTTCAAATTTTGTATATTTAATTTTAATATGCTTCCAGACCATATAGAATAATGAAACTCACAATACTCGCTCAGTCCAATTAACAATGCAAGTGTACTAATTTTCAGACTTCTGGGTGGTGGGAAGGCGGGATATGAACCATTATATATATTTCTTTTTTAATATTATGTGTTGCATTATATCTACTCGGAAAATGCTGGAGGTTGCGAAAGGAATTTTTCAATAAATGTTCAAGACATAGAAGGAATTATAAATCCAAATATTCAGATTCCTATCTAAATCATCCTTGGAATTACAAGCAAATAAATGAGAAAAGCCAACAAATATATTAATTTATCTTTTATAATTTAGTCATCTTATTCCAATATCATCACACATATATTTATATTCATTATATATATATATATATATATATATATATATATATATATATATATATATATATATATATATATATATAGGTGTGTGTATAACAATATACCACCATACTTTTCACGACACCTTTTTAAATAGTTTCCCTTTTTCAATTAGTAATCAATTGTTTAATTATAATTCAAATTTTATATGTACCAATTATCCCCTAACAATAATCCACTGGGTGTCTCTAACTTTGTAATATAATTCAATAAATTTAGGGTTCCCAAAAGCAAAGAGACGCAGTTCTTTTAGTAACGGATTTTGCTTACGTCACTTCCGACCTCCCACAAGAATTGACCAATCTGCTGCGAGCAGGCTTGCAGCTATTTAAGGCCAACGTCGTCTCAGTGGGGCATAGCGTGAATAATTAATTATATATTAAAAAAAACACACTTTTTAAAAAAAGCTTTTATTTAAAATGCACCAAAAATAACAAAATAAATATTTCTGAAGTATTGCTTTTTTTTTCTGAAGGTACCATTAAACAAATAAAATAATAGACTTAGAAATAAAGCGGTGGGGTACAATAATAATAAATTTGAGATCAATGTGATTTTATATGAAGCAAATGATTAGCAAGATTATGCCTTTCATTAAATGTATACCTATTTGCTGCATAAATGATTATCATCCCCCACCGCTTTTATTTCTAAGTCTATTATTTTATTTGTTATATGGTACCTTCAGAAAAAAATGCAATACTTCAGAAATATTTATTTTGTTATTTTTATGCATTTTAAATAAAATATTTTTTAAAGTGTTTTCTATAATTAATTATTTTTTAATATCAACACCTGACCCACTTATTTTTTATTTTTTTATATTGTTTTTTCATATATATATTTTTTTTTTGTTTAAAAATCATTTGTACTATGTGAAAGAAATTTATTTTTGAATATATAAAGTTTTAAAAATTCAAATTTAAAATTGAAAATGATAATCTAATAATATTGTTAAAATATAAAGTGTACAAAAATGTGCGAAAGGTTGTGTTACGACGCTTTTCAGCGGTCGTTTTTTGCGTACAATGTTCAATGTAGGTTCGTTGTGAATACTTAGTTCGATATACTTTATTGCCAGGAGCTGTTAATGGAATGGGGAAATAATTACACTTAGATGGACTTGCCTCAAATATCTGCCATTAGAAGGGTCTTCCTCGTCTACGACTGGCACCCGTTCAAGTCGGACAAGCTTCTCTTGTACCGTCTCTGACACCCCCGGAGGCAACTCGCCGCAGATTTGACCAGACTCTGTCCTCCCCCACACAAGAATGCCGTTTTGGCGCCTGTCCCCCTGACACATGGCCATCCCCCCCCCCCCCCCCCAGCTGAGGTCCACCCATCTTCCTTCAACTTTACATTGGAATCTTGACTTTTCAGATAGCTTGTCATCCATTTTACACTGCCTCCTTCCCAATCCTTTTCGTCCCAAAAATAACTGATTTCTAAAGTTGTGCTGATAGGCGGCTCCTTGATCTCCCTGACCTACATGAGTCACGTCAACCTCTTGGAGCCTAACGGCAGGATTATCATCGCCAAAACTCGGACTTTCTTTCCATTCTCAATCAGTGCCGACGCCGTTGATTGGTCCTGCAGGCCAGCACAGGGCGGTAGTTCTCCACATGATGGCGGCCATATTTCACTGCCTATGATGCTTCATCTGAGGTTTGGATTTTTTTCTTGTGAACTCCTCTGTAGCCGTTATGTACATTTCCAAAGGGTTGGGATCCTTTGTATTGCGTTTTCGCTGCTTCCTCCCACTCATGCGACGGGGCTGTAGATTGTCGATCTTTACAGTGGATGCCTCCAAATGATCCACGCTGTTGATATTGGGGCTGTTCAGCACGTAATCGACCTTGTTAGACCTCCGGAGGTGGTCGGTAAAGTTCTCTTCTTCTCTCGGTTTTCCATTATCTTGCTTTCTCTATAAGCGCTCTCTTTCCAAACCCTCCAGACTTTGTTCCGCCCCCGCATTGGACTGTGAACTTCTTAAACCTTCTGGAGACGTCGTAGCCCGTGGTAGTGCCAATGTCGGTAGAACTCTTTCTATGCGGTGGCTGTTGGATCTTTACTTTGTCGGGCGAAAGAACGAAAATGGTGGGTACTCATTCCTGGAAAATCTTTCAGCTTCTATTACAGAAGACGGTGGTGCTGACACATTGTGCGCGGCATCCGCGTCACAGACATTGTTGTCGGATTCCGCAGAGCGTCCAAAGCTTTATCCTGTTCAATCGTGTCACCGGCTCCAACTTCGGGGTGCGTCGACCATCTAGCCTTGTCACACTACCACAGAATACCCAGCTCCGTCCCGTCCATTTGGATCACCGCTATAGCCCCTGACACTCTGGAACCATCGCAAAAGTCAGCCATGTCGTCGCATTATAGCTCTACAAGATAGTTGGTGTCTTCACAGTATTTTTCCTCCGCTACAATACCTGTCTGGATCATTTTTTCCTAATGCCACTATTTTAGTGTAGTCCATATAACCATCTTGAACCTTCGCTGAGTAAAATGAGTCCTTAGTCTTACGAGAGGATTCGTCGCCTAAATCCATACTATCTTCGGTTATTCGGGCGGGATTATCAGACAAATTATTGCTTAAAATGGCGCTAATTTTATGGGTTATCTGTCTGGTAAAGTCTCCGATCAACTTCTTCAATTCTCCAATCTCGAGGCCAGTTAGTTCTTTCATCTTGCTTTTAAATTGATATGAAAAATGTAAAATCTTCAAGAATCAAAAATAATCTGTAAATCCTCGCTTCTGACACCAAATGTTACGATGCTTTTCAGCGGTCGTTTTTTTGCGTACAATGTTCAATGTAGGTTCGTTGTGAATACTTAGTTCGATATACTTTATTGCCAGGAGCTCTTAATGGAATGGGGAAATAATTACACTTAGATGGACTTGCCTCAAATATCCGCCATCAGAAGGGCCCTCCTCGTCTACTGCCGGCTCCCGTTCTGATGTAACCGGACTCTGTTCTTCTCCATACATGAATGAAGTAAACGAATGCCGTTTTTAGCGCCTGTCCCCCTGACACATGGCCATCCCCCGCAGCTGAAGACCACCCATCCCTCCACCAACCTTACTCTGTAATCTTGATTTCTCGGATAGCTTGTCATTTATTTTACTGTTGATTATTATACCATTAACAATTTATTCAAATAATATTGTGAAATTTGAAAAATAATTTTTATCTAATATATAATTTAAAATACAATATAACGCGGCTGATGATTGTAAAACGAAAATTGCAATTATAGCGCGAATGTTTCTTTTAAACAAAAATCGAAATCTATTTTAAAGAGAAATAACGATTATTTCTAACTTTAAGGATGAAGTATGATAGGATGAATTGTGAAGAGTAATGACAAACGGAAAAATAAAAGTGTCCAGGGGCGGGAATCGAACCCACAACCCTTCTGCTTACCGGGCAGGTGCCATGTCCACTAGGCTACCCTGGACGTATTTTTCCGTTCTTAAATAATATTTAAAGTAACTTATAATACATTTAAAATACAATATAACGCGGCTGATGATTGTAAAACGAAAATTGCAATTATACCGCGAATGTTTCTCTCTCTCTTTTAAACAAAAATCGAACTTTAAATATTATTTACGAACGGAAAAATACGTCCAGGGTAGCCTAGTGGACATGGCACCTGCCCGGTAAGCAGAAGGTTGTGGGTTCGATTCCCTCCCCTGAGCACTTTTATTTTTCCGTTTGCCATTACTCTTCACAATTCATCCTATCATACTTCATCCTTAAAGTTAGAAATAATCGTTATTTCTCTTTAAAAATAGATTTCGATTTTTGTTTAAAGAAACCTTCGCGGTATAATTGCAATTTTCCGTTTTACAATCATCAGCCGCGTTATATTGTATTTTAAATGTATTATAAGTTACTTTAAATATTATTTACGAACGGAAAAATACGTCCAGGGTAGCTTAGTGGACATGGCACCTGCCCGGTAAGGCAGAAGGTTGTGGGTTCGATTCCCGCCCCTGGACACTTTTATTTTTCCGTTTGTCATTACTCTTCACAATTCATCCTATCATACTTCATCCTTAAAGTTAGAAATAATCGTTATTTCTCTTTAAAAATAGATTTCGATTTTTGTTTAAAAGAAACATTCGCGGTATAATTGCAATTTTCGTTTTATAATATATAATTTATATATATAGATTTATAACATTTTTATATATTTTTTAATTATTTTTCATATATAGGTTTATATTATTTGCATTATATTCGCGCTCTTATTGGCTGTTCACTGACACATGACCTCAATGAGACATCAGCGTTCAGTTCCATAGTAAGTAAATCAGCCATTATATTGCTTATAAGAACGAAATCTAATATTAAATCTATTAATTGCGTATTGATAAGTTCATTAATTGAAATGATTCCATCGTTTCAATAATGAAGTAAATGTAATGATAAGTGCAATGCTAACCATATTAGATATTCACTAGTTGTGCCTAACATGCAATTTCCTATATAATGATCATATTAGAGAAAATATACTTGTCATTTAAACATAGTCAAACCTAGAGAATTCATTTTCCTGAATAACGTACCGATTTTGAATGTAAATCATTTTTTTTTGTATCGGAATTCGAAAATACAAAAATTCTGAAATTAATTGATTAATCTGTCTTGTGAAAGTGGATATCCTTGAATAAAATCTAACTAGGCGCTAGACGGTTTAACTACACAGGATGTGAGTGGCAATATTTTCACATCTGTACGCCACGGTGGAAGGTGGGTCGTAAAGATGGACCTCCCCGATAAGCCGTCAGAAACAATCGATGCGGACGTGTCAAACAAAGATGATGGTTGCCAGTGCTAATTATATTTCTTTCTTATTGGAAGACCATTAGGGCCTTCGATTGGGCCGTTTATCTCACCTGCTCTCATCCCCATGGGCCCCGTGATTTGATATTCCATCCGGACTGCACCAAACAATCTGGAAAAACTTTTCCATTTCATCTCCTCGCCTCTCCAATTCGCAGAGTTTCCTCTCCACACTAGCTCTTCCTGCCATCAATACGGCTTATTGTTTTAGCAGGTTTTCCGAGAAAGCATTCGAATGTTAGGGAGAACTTTTAGCCTCCGCGCCTATATTCATTTTCTTGTAAAACATTTTCATGGGAAATTATCAATTTTACTAGATATCTGAATTTTGGTCAAGTTCTGATTTACGATAAGCATATTGCCGATTTAGGCTATTCTCTTTATTTCACCGAAATTAGCCTATATATTTCCATGTTTTTATTTATTCAAACTGAAAAATAACTATCTTGTTTGTGTATAAAATTGAGATTCTCTGTTTTTCTCAATGGTATAAAATGAAATATCATGCGTGGTCTAAATTTTATATTCCAATGGACATATCTCACAGGTACACTGGCTAACTACATAGGATATCTGAAATTTAGAGTTGGTCTGTTTATATACGTTCAACCTTTTAAAACTCTTTAAGCTTAACACCCTCCTTTCCTTTATTTTATCTAGTCTATTTTTTACTGGAAAACTTATATACCTGAAACAATTATAATTAGTAAAAAGAGGGAGGTATTTCATATATAAAATGGTTATTTTTTAATATCACATCTTAAACGTTTTATAAGCTTATTTTAAAGTTATTCGCGCCTAATATGTTTGTATATATTTTTTAAATAAAATTTTGCGTGGACACTTTCTAAGCCCGTTTTGTAACACGTAATCACCACGTATCATAAAAATTATATAATTGTCCCTGGGTTAAAAATCTATACGCCTATATATAACATTTATATGTAATTTACTCTGATTAGTGCGAGTTATGATTTTCTCACAGTCACAAAACCCGGTAATACTTGACCGATAAAAATAGTTGGGTCGAATTGTCAAATTATATTGACAAATATTTGCAATCTTATCATATCTTATCTCAGGTTTTAGTGGAAAGAATTTGTGTTTTCGTTTGTTTGTGAACAAATCTCTCCCGCCTTCTCATTGGACGAATGTGGCCATGTTTGTATATAAAGGGGGGCTATGGTATGAGTCGAGGCGAGTGTGGTGGATCATTGTGTGGAGACGCTTAAAGTGTTCTCTGCGTGATTTATCCGTGTCTGGCTATTTCCACGCATACCTGTGTAACCCCGGTCCGATCCCTACCTAAGCAGCAATAAAGCTAAGTACTGTTTTTTATTTTATTTAACAAATTGTGATTTATTATTTACTTTTTTTATTGTACTTTTGATTCCACGATTTTTCTATGTTTAAGTTACTCTTACTGAAGGCCCTAGTATATTGTATTTGTGTGTTAACCCGTAAATAGTAACTTTTGTCATTGGCGAGCCCTGCCAGGATTACTGATGTTTTGCACGTGAAAATTCCTGTAATTTTATGTGCGTTTTTTTTTCTTTGATTGGGTGGTTTATTACTATTTTTTTGTACTCCATCATGTTTGTGAACTCTATGCTTAACCTGTCAGTGTTTAATGGGGTTAATCTCGATTCTTTCATTCGGGAAGTCGAGCTTAAAGCTCGAGTAGGCAAATGGGATCCTGAGGTCAAAACATTGCTCATGTTCGAGGCTTTATCCCTGAAGTTAGGTTGAGCTTAGAGGAGATGGGTATCCGTAACGATAGCAGTTTCAAAAGTATTGCTAGTAAACTGAACATATTATACCCTAAGAAAGCGCGTGGTATTAGGGAATGCCTTAAATTAATAGAAGGTCTTAAGCAGAGAGTTGGGGAAAGTCCTATGGTTTTTAAAGAAAGATTCCTGGCCATTAGAGATAAAGTAGAGTACAGTTTTGACGATAGCCTAGTGTTTGAAATTTTCCTCGAAAATGTGCTCGATAAGTATAGAGAGGCTATTGTTCGCAGTGAGGCTAAATCAATAGACAAAGCAGTCAGTATTATGGCCACGGAGGATAGTGTAGAACACCGTTGCAGCTTTATGAAAGGGGTATGTTCAGTAGAAGGGGTTGAAGAAATTAATAGCATTAAGAGTGAGATGAAGATGCTTAGTGCCAGTGTAAACAGGATGAGGCACGAAAATGAGCAGTGTATTGCAGATCTTAGGGTGAGGTAGAAAAACTGACTAAATTGTTGGGCGAAATCAGGCTGAGTCCACCTGAGTGTAGCTTAGGACATATAGCTAGTGATTGCTTAGGACAGTCTTCTATGTTTCCAACCGCAATACTCTTGACAATGCTGAGATAGTGAGCATACGTTCATATGGAGGAAATCAGTTTAGAAATCTGCCAATAGTTAAGGTGAATATTAACGTCAATATGTGGCCCCTGTTATACGATACAGGAAGCCAAGTCAGTATTATTGATTCCGAAAAGTGTAATGTCTTGAAGGAGAATTGGGACGATGCACTTAAAACTTTACGTATAGTTTCAGTGACAGGCCACGAGCAGACACTTACACGTGTTAAAACCTGTAGAGTTGATGTTTAGTTGATTTCTGTTCCACCAGATGGCGCTCTGCCTTCTGTAAAGCACATGTGCTCCTGGTCAGGATATGCCATTGTTAATATATATATATATATATATTTTTTTTTTTTTTTGCGAAGTAGTACCTCTAACTGGGAATACTTCAATCCAATTTGAATTTGCATCTACTACCAATAAGTAACAATCACCTCTGAAATAGAAATGGTCAACATGAACTCGCTGCCACGTTTGGTTAGTACTGGGCCAAGGTGTGTTCTCAGCAAGAGGAGCTGTCTGATGATCCATACAGGGAGAACATTCCTTCACAAACTCTTCAATTTACTATCTATTTTTGGCCACCAAACCGAA